TTCATTTGATAATTCAGAGTGATCCTTGGTTTGTCTTGATCTTGTCCTGGTCTTGCCTGGACCCTGCGACTTGCCCAGGCCGACATGGTAGATAGCGCGCTAAGCGGAAGAACAAAGCCCCGTCAGCCCTCAGTGGCCAATCAGCGCTCCCAGAACTCCGCTGACCGCCGTGGCGCGTGTGACTTTCACCGTGCAGGGTAAGCGCGGGACCCGCGGGACCCGAGCCGGGGATGCTACCTAAGGGGTATGGGCCTGACATCACAGCTCTACAAAGCAGCTTGAAGGTTGGTTGCGGCCTTTATCAAAACCCACATTGAAACATCAACCATGCGTTGACTCATGTCGAAGGCCTCTCAGTGACTGGGCGAGCGAGAGCTAACTACTGGTTCTAGTAGCTGGGTGACTAAACCAGCCAGCTTCCTTGATTGGGCCTGAGGCCTGACTGGAACCATCCCGTGCTGGCTAACTTGTTTTTGATACAATTTCCTGGCTTCACCATCAGAGGAAATGGAAATCGACAGAGACGATGTGCAACATTGGCAAGGGCCTTCCGCGTCTCGTGCGGTATGTACTGTACAGGCTGGAAATTTCCCTACATCTCCTGCTGACACAATTGAGCACATAGTGCGACAACTGTCGTATTCGAAAGGTTGGCCGATTCAGCACTTGCTTCGTTCCCATAATATAAGTAGCATTCAAAACATCTGCTTACATAGGTGTTTTACTCTCGAAGATCAAATGCGATCGGGGGTCTCTCTGCTCCAACTGTCGAATTGCAAAGTCCGTTTGTCGAACCTCTCCACGGGTCAGGAACAGCGGCAGAGGGTTCTGATTTCACATCAATAGTATGTCGTTCATACAAAATTTTCTTTCGTTTCCCAGGCCGTTGCTGTAGCGAAGAAACTATACTCAGCGTGACTGGCTGACGCTTCCACAGTGAGAAAAAGATCCGAAATCAAAAACAAGCGCTCGGCGGGGATTGAAAATTTCTTACGTGATTTCACGTCAATCATGGCAGCAAATAACAAGTCTCCATTGCAGCAACAGGGAAGAATTGCAGTCCCCGCATGCCTGGTTCAGATGCCTTCCCAGGAAGAATGCAAAAGAACAGAAACAACACTCGTCACTGGCAGCAACTCAACCTTGGACAACATCAGAAGCAGAACCCCCCTTAGCAACAAAACCAGCCCCGGAATTCAAGGGGAACCGTCCACGACCGCACATTCCGCGTACGCCAGCGAGTTGTTTGAAAAGGTGGTGGTGAAAACGCCCCTTGCAGAACATAGTCCGGAGATGATGAATGCGCTCGCAGCACTGAAGGATATTGTTGAGAGACAGAAGCTTCCTTCTTCTATCCATACGTTGCGTTTTGCGGGCCAGAAAGCGGCGTCCACCAATGTTGATTTTTCGAAGTTGGAGATGCCGCCGCTGAATGTGGTGCTTGCGGTGCTGAGGAATGCAAAGGGTGCGCTTTCGGATTTCCTATTCCCCTATTTTTCTATTTTTCTATATCTCTATATATATTTCTTATATGACCATGCACGTATGTGCAAGTCAAATGAAATTACTAATTGACATGAAGAATCCCACCCATTCTTCCTCCTAAACCTCCCCTTCCTTGATCTCCCTACAATCACCAAATTATGCAAGGACTTGTATTTCTGTACAGAGGAGTACACCACCGCCCATTTTGCTATCGTAAACTGCTCGCTATGTTACATGTTCGATGAGTTGCATTATTTCTTACCAGGCTCCCACCACCAAGTGGATAACCTCCGCCGGCACGAACAACAAGCACCACCACCGCCACCACTAGCATCCCTTACGGCAGAAGATTTTGCCCACTACGCCAGCATGTGCCGCTCGAATTTCGAAACCGCCATCAACACTTTCGACTTATTCCTCCAGCCGTCTTACGAAAATACCCAGGCTCTAGCCCTAGGAGCCTTCCATACTACGGAGGCTTGCAAACCATCTCTATGCTGGACCTTCACCAGCGCCGCAGCCCGCATGTGCCAGAGTCTAGGGTATCACCACAGCGTCTCTGGCCCGGGCGTCAGTGACGAGGAAGCCTATCTGAAAAAGTCGCTATTCTGGTTCATCTACGTTCTCGATAAAGATCTGACATTGTTGCTTGGTCGCAGCTCGACGCTGCAAGACTATGATATCGCCCTTGAATTCCCAGGCCCACCGAAAGACCCCAAATTTGGCCCCTGGTTCTCGATGTATTCGGTGTGGGTGACATATGCGAAAGTTGCAGCGCAGATCTTTGAGAATCTGTATTCAGTGCGTGCATTGTCGGAGAGTGCGGAGGTGCGGACCGAGAGGACCTGTCATCTAGCGTTGGAAGTAGAAAATTGGAGAGCTGCATATGTTCCGGTGCGTTTCCATCTATCCCCCGTGGGTACTCGACAAAAACCTGATCGAGCTCCTTTGGATTGCTTACCAGTTAAAATATACTAAACACCTGCATCCAATTACAGTTAGATTCAACGCTTACAACGTACCACGCAACCTTCTTCCGCTACGCCACCTCCATGACCGACCTGTGCTACTATCACCTCCTCACCCTGATATTCCGAGCGAGGCCCGCACTTCCGCCAGCCCACGAAAATCAGCGGCAGGATCCGCACCAAAAACCCACCAGATCGCACACCGGCCTTGATCCCGCTTGTGTAAACTCCGCCCGCAGCGCTCTCCGCCTGCACCAGAAATTTATCATCGACTTCCGCAATGACAGCGAGTACCTTTTCCGGGGGTACATCATCTGGTCCCTTCTTCACTGCCCTTTCACGCCCTACCTAGTCCTCTTCACGCACACAATCGCCACAGCGGACCTGGACGACCTAAAACTTCTGGAGGAAGTTTCCAGCTCGCTGGAAACCGCGCGACATATTTCTGAAGCGGCGGATAGGCTCTGTAAGCTCTGCGCGGTGTTTTATCAGGTTGCGCGGTTATATGTTGATGTCCGGATGAGAGAGGGCGCAGGTGAGGAGCAGCTGTACCACCAGCAGCAGCACGCGCAGGGTGTTAACGTGGACGCCCACTCTCGCGTTAGCAGTAATGTTACCTTTGATGCTGGCGCTGGCGCTGGCCCTGGTGTGCCAAGGATTGACGATGCGACTGCATATGCTGGTCAGCAGATGGACCTGCAATGGGGCGCTGATGAAGCTGATGGTTATCTGTGGGAGCTGGGTTTCGGGCCTCCAGCTGGTGGAATGAACAACAGTAATAATAATAATAATAATAATAATAATAATATGGGTAGTGGTAGCAATACCCTGGGTGCAGTATCGAGCCAACAGGCACCAGCCGACGATGGAGGTGTGGGGGAGATGATGCCTCCGACGCTGCAGGATTGGTTTCGTGGAAATCAGTATATGATGGGATTACTGGAATCTGATATATAAAAAGGATCTCTCTCTCTCTTTTTTTTTTTTTTTCTTTTTTTTTTTGCAGTGGGGAGAGTTTTCACAGCGGAAGAGGGGTGTGGGATATCATACCGAACAGATCTTGTACTATACATACCACATACGTCGCGGGGTTGGGGAATTTTTATATTATTTGCTCGGTGA